GGGTGCTGGATGGGCCCTGGGGGGCGATGGGGAGCTGTGGGGGCCCCTGGGGTGCTGGGGGGTGATGAGGAGCACTGGGGGGCCCTGGGTGGGCCCTGGGGGGCGATGGGGAGCTCAGAGGGGTGCGGAGGGGTGATTGGGAGCTCTAAGGGTGCTGGGGAGCGATGAGGAGCTCTGAGGGGTCTGGGGGATCCCAGGGACGGGGTGACTGGGAGCTCTAGGGGTGCTGGGGGGCCTTGGGGAGGTGACGGAGAGCTCTGAGGGTTCTGGGGAGCTCTAGGGGTGCAATGGGGAGCTCTGAGGGTGCTGGGGGGCAATGGGGAGCTCTGGGAGTCCTAGGGATCCCTGGGGGTCTTGGGACCAGTGGGGAGCTCTGAGGGTTCTGGGGCGATGGGTGGTGCTGGGGTGCCCTGGAGCACCCTGGGATGTGCTGGGGGGGGCTGCGGTCCCTGGGGGCGTTGGGGGTCCCGGGACCAGCTCGCCCCAGCTCAGTTGATCTGCTCCTCTTCCCAGGTGGAGGTGGGGATGGCGCTGTAGGGATCCACGATGAGCTTGGCGCACCGCACCATCATGGCCAGGAGGAAGAGGCCCAGGAGGGCCACGAAGGCCACGGCGAAGCCCTTGTCCACGTCGACGGCCGGCGGCACCGTGGCGCCGTCCATGCGGGCGGCCCTCAGGTGCGCGGCTGCCGCGGGCATCCCTGCGGGGCAAAGACGGGTGGGATTCAGGGGGGCTGAGCGGGTTGTGGTGAGTCACAAGCAGCCAAAATGGGGAAAGCCTGGCCTCGGGACCCCTCTGCTCCTCGTCGTGGCAGCTTGGGGAACACCCCGCGTCGTCCCACCCTTGTCCCAGGCACCTTCACCGCAGGGATCTTCACTGTCTCACCCCGCCACCGCTTCCAGCTTCCCTCCCCTGCCCAGCCTCCTCATTCCCCAGGAAAAAGCAGGTTAAAATATCCCTATTAAATTGTGTTTTTTTGTTTTGTTTGTTTTTTTTTTTTCCACAGGACTCCACACTCTCCGCTGCGTTAGGTGCAACGAGCGCGCCAGGGCTTGGCTGACCCCCTGCAAAATGGACACTGATGGGGGTGAGAAGCAGCAGGACAGGAGGAAAAAAAAAACCCTCCGGTAAGCAAACACGGGTGGAAAAAGCAGGTTTTCTCCTTGCTGAAAAGAGTCACTTGTGGCAGCGGACGGATAATTCGATTTGCACAAGGTTGGAGGAGAGGTGGAGGCTGGTTGAGTGGCACCAGCAAGAGCCACGTGGACTCAGCTCTGTGTATATAGGCGTATGCCTAAATATAACATATATTTATTTTTTTAGTGTGTTTGTAAAGCTAACACATGCTCCAGGAGCAGACGACCGCAGCCCTAACTACGCCAAGGACAGCACATAAATCACCAGGCCCAACTCCTGCAGCACCCCGAGGTTTTGGGCAGCCCCCGGGTCTCAGCCCCGTCCCGCGTGCGCCGGCCGGGGCAGCTCCTTACCTCCCTGCGGACAGACGGATGGACGGACAGACGGACAGACGCCGTGCCCCCTCTCCCCGTCCCCGGTTCCTGCGCCGTCCCCGGTGGCTGCGGGTGCCTCATGAATACTGCAGGAACGCGGCGGCGTCGCCTTTCAGACGCTCCCAGTAACGGGGAGAAACGATCCGGCGGATTAAATTCTCACCCGCTATTTCCAGCACACCCCCCCCTTCGCCCGGAGGGTCCCTGCACGGGTCTTGCAGGGCCCGACGGGGGGGAACTGGGCAGCGTCAGGGAGGATTTAACCCCAAAATGCAGCGGGAGGTGGGTGTCCCCCCCCCCTCCCGGGCTGTGAGATGATTTAGAGCTGCTCCTCGCTCGGCTCATTTCGGGGGAAAACTCTTTGAAGTCGCGAGGCTTTGGGCTTTGAAGGGAGCTGCCCGTTTGGCTCTTGCGAAACGGCCTCACACCGAGCCCCGAAATGGTTTAAACGCCAGAAAAATCCCCCCGCCCCTCCGGTTTATTTATTTTTTTCCCCCTCCCAAGAGGACAAAGGATCACTTGGAGAAAGAGCGTTATTTTACAGCGAAGCTTCGCCACCACGGCAAGTGCCTCAGCCTGGCGCGGGGTGGTTTTTTTTTTTCCCAGTGTTTTTTTTTTTTTGTTGGCAAAGGTGGTTTTGGGGTTCTGCCCTGGGGAAAGGGGGGCCAGGAGGGAAACTACGACCAGGGTTGCCCCATCCCGGGGCGCCTGGCAGGACCCTGGAGTGCAGCGGTGCCCCCATGCCCTGTTTTGGCCCTTGCTGTGGTCACGGGGTGGCTGTGGGGGAGCCCCTCGGCTTGCAATTAGCGCTAATTAGCGCTTTACTGGTGTCCCCCCAGTCCCGGTCCTGACCCAACACCCTCTTCCAGTCCCAGATCCAACCAAATCCCAGTCCAAATCCCAGACCCAATCCCAGTTCCAGAGCCAAATCCCAGTCCCAATCCCAGTTGCAGACTCAATCCCAGTCCCAACCCTCACCCCAGTCCCAGCAGGATTTTTGCCCTCCGACAGAAAAAAAGCCCCAAACCCCGCCCGTGACGTCACCCAACCCGACCTTTAACTCGCCCCACGCGCGCGTCCCTC